TTATACCATATATATTTGTAATATTAAAGTTATAACAAATCTATTTATATTTGTAATATTAAAGTTATCCCACATATATTTGTAATATTAAAGTTATACTATATATATTTGTAATATAAAGTTATAACATATATATTTGTAATTTCAAGTCATACCATATATATCTGTAACATTAAAGTTATACCATATATATCTGTAATATTAAAGTTATACCATATATATTTGTAATATTAAAGTTATACCATATATATTTATATATAATATAAAGTCATACCATATAAATTTATATATAATATAAAGTCATACCATGTATATTTATATATAATATAAAGTCATACCATGTATATTTATATATAATATAAAGTCATACCATATAAATTTATATATAATATAAAATCATACCATGTATATTTATATATAATATAAAGTCATACCATATAAATTTATATATAATATAAAGTCATACTATGTATATTTATATATAATATAAAGTCATACCATATATATTTATATATAATATAAAGTTATACCCTACCTTATTTATCTAATCTCTTAATTTAATCTGACAAACTCGACTGTGAGTCCAAATCAGATAATTGATATGTATTTCAATGTCAGAATGACAGACATATTTCTATTACTAAGAGTTTTACTTATATACCCCTTCAGATTCGTTTTTTATTTGTTTAATGTCTAAAATCAATATTGGTTTTAGCACCTTCATTATGCAATGTGATTAACTATAAAAGAATATGACCCAGATAACTTGATGGATATAAGAATTTCATAGTTGAATGAAATATGGGGTGTACCTTAGTTTAAGGGTTTAAAGAAACATGGGAGCCACGCTTGCTCAGTGGATAAGGCGTTTGATCACTAAGTTCCAGGGTTCGATCTCATAGGCGTAGGAGCCGGGGGGGGGGGGGCAGGGGGGGGGCAAAAAATTTATTTTCGGGCAATGAAAAATTCGACGACCTTTTTTTTCTATTAACGTTTAGAGAAAAAATATAACTAACTTATTTCTATGAGATCCACACTGCCCGAAAAGTATTTTCTCGTCTTTTTCTTGTCCACTGCATGTCCGAAAATATGCCCGAAGCTTTCTTATGATATGTATGCCCGAAAAAACGGTATTGATTTTGGGCAATTTTCTCTTATGCCCCCCTGAATTACTTTGAGCTCCTACGCCCCTGGGGACTTGTGCTTAGATTGACTATGTTTAAGAACGAAGTTGTGATTAAGTTTTTTCTTGGAAAGCATAATAACGTTGTTGTGCTTACAATGAAGTCTACTTAATATCTAAGCACAAGAACGTTCTTAAGAATTTTCTGGGAACACAAAATAAGGTAAGTTTACTTAAATGCAAAGTCTACTTAAATCTAAGCACAAGAACGTGCTTAAGAATTTTCTAGGAATCGGGCCAAGAAGAAAATTCACGAGGTTAGACAGGCGACAGAGAAATAAAAGAAGTTAAATACAGTATAATACATGTGTAGAGTAAGATTTAAAATAATATATACTATTCAAAAAAAGTAGGGGATATTTGATTTTGGGGGCATAATACTAAAATATGCAAATGACTACGAAAAAAGTCACTATAGAACCTAACAGAAGAAACATTTCCAGTTACATGTGACGCCCAAACGCACCAATAGCTACCGCATGGAATGCATGTGATGCTTGGGATCATCATGGGGGTCCAACCCAAGATTTGCACGACTCTGACTTTGAATGTTACAGTCATTGTGGCATTGAATTCCAGGGTGGAAAAATCAGTTTAATTGTTTTAGTGACCAGAAAACAAATTTTGATATGCGTCGGCTTACCCAAAATGAAAGGTTACGTGCCCTTGGCATGCTACAGGTCGGCACAACACAGGCGGTTGTGGCGCGGACGATGAATGTTTCTCAGTCTGTCATAAGCAGGCTATGGTCCAGATACCGTGATACACAATCTGTACAGGACAGACCACGCTCAGGTCGACCAAGGGCGACAACTCAAGCCCAGGATCGATTTATCCGTACCTTGGCCTTGAGAAATCGTGTCATCACAGCAAATCAGATCAGCGCTCGTCTTCAAACAGACACTGGTGTGAGAGTAATTGGCCAGACGATTCGGAATCGACTGCATAGGGGTCACCTTCGCGCCCGACGTCCTCGCGTGATCCCTTATTTGAGAGATCATCACATTCAGGCAAGAAGTCGTTGGTGTAGGGATCGTCAACACTGGGATAATCGACGCTGGAGCAATGTGATGTTTTCAGATGAGTCAAGGTTCACTGTTGATTTTTTGGACAGACGTAGGAGGGTGTGGCGTCGTCGAAACGAGCGCTTCCAAGACGTTAACGTCATCAGACATGATCGATTTGGGGGTGGTTCTGTTATGGTGTGGGGAGGCATCACTGTTGCTGGAAGAACGGCTTTACATGTTGTTGCAGGGCGTGTTACAGGCCAGTACTACCGGGACAACATCTTGGCAGTCCATGTTGTGCCGTTCGCACGACGTCATGGCCGCCGTTTCATCTTCCAGGATGACAACGCAAGATGTCACAGGGCCAGGATCGTTACAGGTTACCTCCAACAACAGAACATCACCACATTACCTTGGCCAGCACTGAGTCCCGACCTCTCCCCCATCGAGCATGTCTGGGACATGCTTGGACAGAGGTTACGTCAACGTCAACAACGTCCTGCCAATGTCCAAGAACTTGCTGCTGCGTTGCAACAGGAATGGGACAATCTGGACCAAAATGACCTTAGACGTCTCATTAGGAGTATGCCACGTCGGATCAATGCTTGTTTGGCAAACAGAGGAGGATTTACCCGTTACTGACTTGGTTGTGATGCTGTGGTAACTTTGCTGTTTGACCCCGGGTATCATTTTACCCTTATAATGGTCAGTCTGTGCCTTACTTAGTCTAACGATCATTTGGAATAAATCGATGAATGTGAACTTCATTTCATTTTGTCATTTGTTTCTTCGTCAGTTTCATTAGGTGACTTTAATAACACTTAAAAATCAAATATCCCCTACTTTTTTTGAATTATATCTTCAAGATAGAACACAAAAGGTGCAAATAAACAGGTCTGTGTCTCAACCCTGTGCTGTTAGGATAGGTGTTCCACAAGGATCTGTATTGGGACCTATACTTTTCTTCTATACAATCTTCCGATTGGTCAAATCCTAAGAAGACATGGGGTACAAAACCACGGCTTTGCTGATGACACCCAAATATATGACTATTTTCAACAAAACAACTATCTTGCTTCCAAGGATTCTATCAGTAGACTTGAGTCTTGTCTTAATGACATTCGGGGATGGATGACCAGAAATAGGCTAAAACTTAAATTGTTTAAAGCGGATTCCATTCAGATCGGTGATTGCTCTATATCTCCCAAGAAGCAGGCTAAAAATCTGGGCTATGTTACTGATGAATTTATGTCCCCAGTTCCCCAAATCAATAGTATCATACGGAAAATGCATTATCAAATGAGAGCTATTTCGAGAATACGCTCTAATCTTAATACTGATGCTTGCCAGAGTGTTGTTAGAGCATTAGTAACATCGCACATGGACTATGCAAATTCTCTTCTATTAGGAGAACCAGAAACAGCTTTAAACAGACTACAAATAGCGTAAAACAATGCTGCACGTCTTATAACTAAAACACGAAAATTTGATCATATATCAGCTAAGTTACAGAAACTCCATTGGCTTCCAATTCGAGCGAGGGTTCAATTTAAAGCTCTTGTGAATGTGTTTAAATCAATTTATTCTGACACCGCACCCAGTTATTTAAAAGAACTCTTTGATTTCTATACTCCCCGGCGATCCAACCTTCGTTCTTCAAGTGATCGTAGCATATTGAGGATCCCCAAATATAATAAGCGTTCTGGTGAATATGCTTTCTCCGTCAGAGCAGCTAAAATGTGGAATGATCTTCCAAAAACTCGTCGAGAGTCCTTTTCCGCCCAGAGCTTTAGACTAACTTAAAAACATACTTATTTCAAAAATGTTTTTGAACTGTTTTGTTGTGAATGCGCTTATAAATACTCATGTGTAATGAAGCGCTATATAAATCGAACAATAATAATAATAATAATAATAATAATTAATCAATGTTATATTAATCCAGTGATTTAAATACTATAATTATTAATGGAATGGATTATATGTGTCCTACTATTAATGAACAGTATATATCTGATAAATGGTGTATGAATCAATTAATTAATTAATGTTATATTAATCCAGTGAGTTACACACTATAATTATCAATGGAATATATTATATATACTCTTCATGAAAAGAAACGCATAGTCCATTTTTCATCGTTTTGTATTTGAAGGGGATCGTTGCTTCCATAAATCGTCAGAACAGTAGGACGTTAAACCCCATTTCATTTCATTTCCATAAATCTTACTTGTTTTTAATGTCATTATGTAAGGATACAAGAAATTCATTATTGGTTTTATATATAGGGTCACTATTTGTGACTGGTCATACTTTTTGTCGAAATCTGTTTTCGCTTGATTGCACCAAGACGCATGGGTTTATCAACATTGCGCGCTTTTCGCATGAAAACCAAAACTAAGGCCTTAAAAATCCCGTGGTTCTCGGTTTCAAAATCAGTTGCACATGTAGGCACTCAACTAGACAAGTGGTGCCACGTCTGAATGAAGACCAACGCAACAACGCTATCGTCGGTTACAAGCAGGCGAATCCCAGATACATGTATCAAGACTGCTGAATGGTTCCCAGAGTACCATCTCTCGCCTTTGGGATAGGTACCGACAGCGAGGTTCAACACGTGACCACCACTCTCAGGCCGAGCAAGTGTGACCACACCTGCTATATCCGTTTACGCCATTTTCGGGAACTGTTCACAACAGCGAACTCTACTGCAGCAGCAATTCTTGGTTCTACCTTGGTTTGTATACTCACGGGCGGACATGTACAAATATTGGGCATAATTTCAATGTTTCCGTTTATGTTCCAGATTTTGAAGTATTAAAATGGCGAGTGACACCAGAAAGAAGTTAGTTATAGTGGGTGATGGCGAATGTGGTAAAACATGTCTATTAATCGTCTTCTGTAGAGATGTGTTCCCAGAATTTTATATACCAACTATCTTTGAGAACTACGTTGCTGATATTGAAGTGGAGAACAGATCGGTAAGTAAAACATAGTTCCCCAACCCTAACCCTATCCCTATAAATATAAGAACTGGATACACAAATTCATTTTTAGGTTGGAGGTGCTAAGGAAATAGTACAGGTTGTCCGCTCTGTCTTCTAGGTACCTGGTGAGTTTACCTGACTGATTGGTGGCCATCACAGCTGTCACCTTTTGCCGAAGGGGTAGGGACGGTGGGTGGCCGAATAGCTAGCGCGTGCGCGTTGCATCATAAGTTCTGCCATTGAGTCAACTGGCGCGGTTTTGATTCCCCGGTTGTACGTGACAAGAAGTAGGGTCGCCTGTCCAACCTCGTGGGTTTTCTCCGGGTCTCCCGGTTTCCTCCAACTGCTAAAAACCACTACGTGCAAGCGAATTATTGAAATAAAATTGAACCATAAGTTAGTCCCGAAATGACCTAGTTTGTGTCGAGTGGACGTTAAACCCCATGTCTCTCTCTCTCTCTGTTTCCCTTTAGCCTAGACATCTTCACATCTAAGTGTAATTCACATTAAATGAACGTCATACCATAATTTCTAGCTCTAGGCTGGAGGGGTTTGACCACCATAGCTATCGGTTTATTTGTTGGTTCCGTGTCTAGTTCAGCTGACATTAAATCGAATTCTTGGCAGGTATATATTTGCTCTATCTGACAACAGCTTGCCATAATACACTAGATGAATAAAAGCTGGAATACACCCAGTGACAAATTATACAAGATGAATCATTTAACTTGGTTGGATAGAAAATGTTGGCAATGTTAAACAGTGTCATTGTTTGAAATGTGGATGCCAATCAACATTAAACACACTGTCCTTAAACATACATTATGCAAGAGCTAAATCGGCCTATTGCAGGTCTTTCAGTAGGCCTGAAATATTATATAAACTATTAAAGATACATTATGGGAGATTCTATTATAATAGTTAAAAACTAGATAACATAAAGGCAATTTGCTGAAAATTTCATTCAAATTGATCCACTATGAACCCAGAACTAAGCGAATGAAATTTCCGCCTAGCTTCGTTCTTCACTACTAAAGGCAGTACGATAAACAGCATAGTCTCGATTATTCAATTAATCGTTAAATCGTGAAGGAAAGTGTTATGCAGTAAATCGGCTCATAATCCACTACAGATCGCAGGCTAGCGATGCCATCTAGAGTTGATTATGGTCTGGATAGGTTAATTAATGTCTCATTAATAATTTAGATAACATTTCAGGCCTAAAGAAAGACCTGCAATATACATAATTAGCTCTTGCATAATGTATTTTTAATTAGACATTAATTAACTTATCCAGACTATAATCAACTCCTGGTGTCATCGCTAGCCTGCGATATTTACTGAATTTTAATCCGATCTGCGTTATCCTGACTCTTTAGATACTACAAAACGTAGAAGCTCTCCGATTGTTTACCCGACTACAAAACTTTGCAGCTCGTGCAATTCGATAACAAAGTGTTGCAGCTCTTATAATTATGGCGATCCTATCTGGTCTTATCATATATTGAGATGATGAAGCCAGTTAATTATATCGAAACGTATCAGATCGTGGACTCAATAGGGACAATCTGTCGTGACGCATCGTACAACAGTGGGAACCTAGCATTAGTTGTACATTCCAGAGATCACAAAAGACCGGTATGGATAAAATATCGGTCAAATTGAACCGGTATTGTCACCGTAACGCATCGCAAGACAGTGGGAAGCCAGCATTAAATGTACATTCCAGAGATCACTTAAGACCGGTATGGACAAATTATCGGTCAAATTGAACCGGTATTGTCAGATAAATTCTAGGCCAGCAGTAGGTCTATATTTGTGTGCCATCTTTATTGATCACTAATAGAATCTGTCAATTTACAACAAAGTTTCTTAACTAATCATTCTTATAATTACAGGTGCAGTTGGCATTATGGGATACATCTGGACAGGAAGCTTATGATCGGTTACGTCCCTTGTCTTATCCAGATACTGACGTCATACTCATGTGTTTTTCTATTCACAATCCAGACAGTTTGGAAAATATTTCAGAAAAATGGAACCCGGAAGTTCAACATTTCTGTCCAAACGTTCCAGTTATTTTAGTAGGAAACAAAAAAGATTTAAGAAATGATCCAGCAACCAGTAAAGAATTATCCGAACCAAAGTTCAAACCCGTTTCCACAAACGAGGGCCTTGCGATGGCAGAAAAAATTCACGCTTTTTCATATCTGGAATGCTCAGCGCGAACCAAGGAAGGAGTAAGAGAAGTCTTTGAAACAGCAACCCGTGCAGCTTTACAAAAGAAAAAATCCAAAGGACGACGAAAATTTTGCAAAGTTTTGTAAAAAGTGATACACAATTTCAATTTCTAAAAGAAAGACGTTTAGAGTTTATCCATGTTTTCATGATAATAATATAAAGCTCAATACTGGGATAGGAGACAAGTCGACACCAATTTGTCTGGGATTTTTTTAATCTAAGAATTCCAGGTGCTATTTTTGTTACATAGGAGTAGAAATGAAAGTTTGAAATGAAAGTTTGCAATCTACCATATTTTTAATCATGAGTGTTTCTGTGAGGAGTTTAATTTGTGTATTTACAAAACCATTTTGAATTATTTATTTTCTCCTCAATAATTCCGGTGTTAAAAGTATTATTTACTAGAGGTGAATATCGCCTCTCTAGGCCTATATCATTTCACGACGCCATTTCTGCTTGATTATGTAGATAAACTGTATTAAATATCGCATAGACCGTGTTGTATTCAGACAACGGGGGAATTTGGACCCATTTTCCCATATTTTTTGCTACCCTTAATGACAATATTGTAGTAATATGGAGGGCAGGGATTTGTGCTAAGGAACATCTATGTAAAATAATATTATGGTTTTGATTAATTATTTTAGCTATGGTATAAGTTAATTCTGAAACGCAAATTAAAATTGTTTATGAAATATTGTGACAATAACAGGACATGGGGTCTAACGACAAAGAATGGAGAAATATGATGGCTAGAACAATATTGTTATCTTTCATATTATATATTCTCAGTTCATAACCAAAAATATAGAAAGTATATGCTGGTTATTTTGATACGTTAACTGAGTTATAGATTAATGAACATGTTGGTCATTTACATTTTTCTTTGTTATAAAACATATATCATATTTGTTGACCAAATTAGGAAATAATCCCTGTCTATATCCAGATTGAGGTGCATGTCCATTCCATATTTGGAACTTAGCTGTTATCAGTTTTTTTTACGTAAACACCTCAGACAAAGGAATAGGCACCTATAAAAGAGGTGGGGAAATAGCATTCGAGGGAGCTCACCCCGCCGGTCACACCAGCAATTTAGTTATTTGAGACTAGAAAGAATTGTGTGAAATGCTTCCAGTTTATTCAAATAAAATATTTAAGAAAAGAACCTGAACTTTAGTTATAACTTCGTCACGGAAGAAAACACAGCGTGAAGATTGAAGATCTGATAGTACAGCAATATATGTTATTGTACAAGCACAAGTTAAATTAAACATTTCCATGGGTGTTATAAGTATTTTATGTTTTATTATTATTTAAATTTTGTATATTATACAATAACTTAAAATGTATACAATATAAAATCCAATTAAAATATTTAGAAAAATCTATCTTATTTTATTTCTGTAAGTCTTCAGTTGTGAAAATCTAATGGAGTTTAACGTTTTGCTGATTACCGATATGTTAGCTTCTGCTATGAAGAAAGGTGTGCCCGGACAACATTGCTACGACCTAGTCTTATTTCGAGTTTTTCATTCGACTAGACACTGTTCCTTGTCAGGTCCTTCGTTCTGTGTAGTGCGAGAGAGAGAGAGAGAGAGAGAGAGAGGGAGAGAGAGAAATGGGGTTTAACGTCCACTCGAAACAAACTAGGTCATTTCTGGACTAACATATGGTTTAATTCTATTTCAATAACTCCATTGCGCATAGGGGTCTTTAGCAGTAGGAGGAAACCGGAGGACCCAGAGAAAACCCACGAGGTTAGACAGGCGACCCTACTCCTTGTCACGTACAACCGGGTAATCGAAACCACACCAGTTGACTCAATGACAGACATTATGGTACAGCACGCACGTGCTAACCATTCAGCCACCCCCTCCCCCCCTTCTGTGTAGTAAGATGAGTAGAACTTTTGCTATTTAAATTAATAATAGCATTATATTGACTATGGCTTTGACTAATTATTGGTTTTATATTACAAAGAAGTCATATCTCACGCAGTGGTAAGTTTATATATTAAAACAGTTATAATTTCATAAAAAATTATTCTGGTTTAATAACAAAATAACACGTCTGACGCTTCTGGTGGAAAGTTTCCACTGTCCATAGAAGGGTGGTTCTTGACGCCATTAGGCTTAGTAACCAATCATTATAATTAATTACGTAGTATTTGTCTAATTAAATAATTGACAGAGCTGTCTCAAAGACACTGTAATAAATGAAATGAAATGGGATTTAACGTCCTACTGTTTTGCTCCGAACTGGGCTAATGAAGACGGGCATTCGCCATACCGTGTGCTTTGAGGGAAATTTTGCCCGTACAGCGGCACTACGGCCTACTCTTATATCGAATTCCAACCGTCAAGGGTTCTTTTACGTGCACGCCAATGTGTACACGGGACCTCGATTTTTCGTCTCATCCGAATGGCTAGACAGCTGTCCTTGTCAGGCCCTCCGTCCTGCATGACACTGTAATAAGACTGATTAAGGTCCTATATGTATCCAGTGCTTGTCCTAAAAATGTAGAAACAAACTGTAGCATTGTTTTTCCTGGTAGACAAACGTCTTAACTACTGAGATAGTAAGAAGAAAATACACAACGTGAAATGGGTTCTTAGCCATAAGAAGAGAATTACAAATATAACCAGATACAATATTGCGCTTTTCACCAGCGACGGATATTGCTACATCTTTACCCCTGTAACCTCGCTGGAAAATCTCGATCAACACCCGGACCGATTTACCGGATCTGCAGGGGTCGTCCATTTGTCTCCTTCATCTACCAGAAGATCTCTACCGAGCATTTGATTTGGTCTCTTCCCTCAGATATTCCGTCTCTTCCAGTCCGGACTTAGAAGAGACAGAAGAAAACATGGTGGAATACACCAACTGTAGATAACATTGACGTATATGACGGAATACACCAACTGTAGATAACATTGACGTATATGAGGTCAATGTAACTATATTTGTAGTTTTCAAAGAGATTGTCAAAACAGTGTACGTCGCATTTGTTGAAAATACAATTGCTTGGGTTTCACTGGAATAAGGGAGATAAATATAATTGAAGCGGCGTGCACGGAAACAGACCACTATAACTTCTTCTAATATTTTTTTTATATATTTTTTTTAAAAAAAATGTCTCAGGTCTTTTTCTAAAATTCCATTGATCTGAACGTTTTTACCAGGGTGTAACAGTGGCACTAGAATCCCAATGCTAGTATATATCAACCATTAATATTTTGGGTATAGAGCAGGCTCGTAGCCAGCATGCTAGCTTCGGAGCGGCAGTGAAGTTTTTTTTTTTTGGGGGGGGGGGGGGCACACCAGGCACAGTCTACAGTAGGTATTTTAGAGCTATGGTTGGCAAATTTTTTTTTCGGGGGGGGGGGGGAACATTTTTTCGGGGGATTGCCCCCCCCCCGCCCCCCTCTGGCTACGGGCATGGTAAAGAGTACTAGTAACCTCTTTACCTAACATATCAAAATCTGACAATCTGAATACAATCATACATAAGGGGAGACAATTGAAACAATACACGTACAATTACAATAGTTAAACACAATATATGTGTATAATACCATGGACATTAAGGTACGTGACAATACCATGACCCTTGAATATTAAATTCAACACTTACCCCACAGTCTCTCTGCTACAACGTATGCATATCAATATGACAATATATAATGTTTACATTTGTCAACAATTAGATGTGAGAGCGTCTCAGAGCTTTATTAAACTGAATTCAATCTGTAGGGATCCGCGGTGGCTCAATGGGTAAGACGTTGTCTCAATAACCTGGATGTCCTGTGTTCGATACCAGTGTTGTCCCAGAAAGTTCATAAGCATTTTCCGGCGTGATTCCACCTTGTCAGTGCTGTAGGGCGGAGGGCGTGGCAAGAGACAACGTATATTCATTCGGATGGGACGAAAAACCGAGGTCCCATGTACAATTGGCGTGCACGTAAAAGATCTCTTGGTAGTTGGAATTCTACATAAGAGTAGGTGATAGTGCCGCTGCCCGGGCAAAATGTCTCTCATAGCACACTGTATGGGGTATGCTAGTCTTCAATTGTTCAGTCGGCGCAGAACAGTACACCACATTTCATTTCAATTCAATCTTCGGTCTTATTAAAGGGCATATAGCTCTATTCTTAGGAACCTTACAATGTGAATAAATCTATAAAGGAACTAAATCTATATTCTTAAGGACCCTAATATATACGAAATGTGTCATTTAATGTTCTTAGAAATCTTAAAAAAAAGACAAACATTACTCTAAGAGTAATATAAATGTATATAAAATGATTTACATTCACATTTTCCATGAGAAACCGTCAAGAAAAAACTTATTCCGGGAAAACAAGGCCAAGAGTAAATGTGCAAAATATCCACCATACTAGCAAGACATGTTTCTTAATGGACTTGGTTGTCACCATGTAGATGTTACATAAAATCTAGTGTTCTTGACAAACTTATGATAGAATAATACTCTGATTTTGGCCAGTTCAGTCGGTGTTCGTCGGTATATTATATTCTCTATGGTCATCTTTTTGATTGGCAGTATTCCACTTAAAAAGAGAGAGACAGAGAAATGGGGTTTAACGTCTACTAGACACAAACCAGGTCATTTCGAGACTAACATATGGTTCAATTTTTTTTTTCAATAATTCGCTAGCGCGTAGGGGTCTTTAGCCGTAGGCGGAAAAAAGGTGACCCCTAGAAAACCCACGAGGTTGGACAGGGGACCCTACTTCTTGTCACGTACAACCGGGGAATCAAAACCGCGCCATTTGACTCAATGGCAAACCTTATGATACAACGCGCACGTGCTAACCATTCGGCCATCCACCCTCTCCACCCACCCCAAGGAGGCTGACCGAGGAAGTAATCTTAATGAATACAAAATATCTAAACAACGAATACAAAAAAATGATGATATTTAATTTCTTACAGTAATTTGCCGATCTTCTGTTGGAAAGTTGGTATCAGAAACGTTTGAACCGCATTCCCGTCCTAATGCTCTACTTCAAATACCATCCTCATTAGGTTACCTTCTGGGCAGCAAATTTACATTTTGTTGGTTTATGTGATAAATTTTAAATCGTCCATTAACTGTTTTATATATGACCGCTGGCTACGGTCTTGGGATCTTGCAGACACAAATAAACTTCATCACATAAAGCCTCTCTTAGGAGACTGGCCCAACTCCTATAGACCTAACAGGAGGGATGAAGTTGTTTTGTGTCGCTCTCGCATTGGACATACTTTTTTAACTCTTATTTTCATTTTAAAGCGGGAGCCTCAACCAGAATGTGAACACTGTCATGTTCCTTTGACAGTTAAGCACATTTTAATTGAGTGCAAGCATTTCAAGGATATTAGATCTAATTTTTACCGTTGTCAGTCACTACATCACATGTTTGCCGAACCTGGTTTATATGGTAAAGTGTTAGACTTTTTAAGGGAGACAGGTTTTTGTAATAAATTTTAATTGCATATATATATATATATTTTTGTATTTAATATTTATATGCATAAAAGTTGTATTTTATTTTTAATTTTATTAACTGTGATATTGTTTTTATTTATGCATATAATGTTTTTCTGTGATATAATTTTCTTATGTTTTCTTTTCACCTTATGTTTGGCGCAATATAGCCCGGTTGGAGCTGACGTGCCATAAAACCACATTTCATTTCATTTCATTTCCATCCTCATTCGTTTACCTTCTGGGCAGCAAATTTACATTTTGTTGGTTTATGTGTTAAATCCTGATTCTCTTAATTTAGCAAAGAAAAACAACAAACAAACACCCCCCACCCCCGCCAAAAAAAAACCCAACGAAAAACCGAGGTCCCGTGTATACATTGGAATGCACGTAAAAGATCCCTTGGCAGTTGGAATTCGATATAAGAGTAGGTGATAGTGCCGCTGCCCGGGCAAAATTTCCCTCATAGCACACTGTATGGCGTATGTCCGTCTTCATTAGCCCAGTATAGGAGCAGAACAGTAGGACGTTAAACCCCATTTCATTTCATTTCGTTATTCGATCCCGGTATTGGGCGCGAAAGTTTATTAGAATATTCCGACGTTCTCCCACTCGTCAATGGTGCAAAGGTTAGAGGTTCTTTTGTAGTTTCACAAAATAGTTAAAAAGGGAACTATACAAAATAATTAAAGTGACATCTTAGGTAGATTCTCCACATAAACCTTGATAATCGATACCCACTGATTTTACTCTTCTCATTCCTGTAACAAACGAATTCTCTAGAAAA